CATTGGGTCTCCATCACGCGCCACCCTCATTGATGAATATATTCTTAATATTGTGCAACTTTGTCATTACCTTTTTACAAACTATTCTACCACATTATAATGTAAACTCAATGCCCTTTACACAAAAACCCTCTCTTTACACAAAAAGCCTCTCTTTCCTCTTCTTCCCCACCCCTGTTAAACACAAATAATCTTTGGTTTCTATACATTTACTTATTTCACAAAAGTGAGATAATGCAGCATTTTCCAGATGATGATTAGCTTATTTTGCTCAGGATAATGTGGTCTGGATTCATTATAATGCCAAACTTAATTTCTCCTTATGCCTGAGTAATAAATATTCCATTCTGTTTATATACTATATTTCACTTATTCATTTACCTGTTGATGGACGTTCATATTGCTTCCAATTTTTGGGAGTTCTTAACAGTGCTACAATGAACACTAATGTCCAAGTGTCAGTTGTGTTCCGGATTTTACTTCTTGGGAGCCCTGGAGGCGTAGTGATTATGCATTGTCTTGGGATCCAAAAGGTCAGAAGTTTGTAAAAACTACCCGCTCCTCAGGAGAAAGACACAGCTTTCTACACTTGTACACAGTTTCGGTGTCAGAGACTCTTGGGGCAGTTTTATCCGGCCCTATGAGGGTCACTATGATGCAGCACTGATTGACTCAAAGACAGTGAGTTCGTTTTGTTCTTTGGGTTGAATAGAAGTGGGGATTCTGAGTAGCATTGAGATTCCTGGATCAAGTGGCAGATCTTACTCTTTTTAACAAGTATTGCCATTTTGAGAGAATATGCCTGGCACTATGTTCCTAAATGGATACTATTGAGCTAGTATTTATCTGGTTCTTTCTAGGCCAGGCCGTGTGCTATAGACTGCTGGGACTGTAGGCTCTCTTCTTTTGAGGTGCACAAAATCCTTCATAGGCCACAGCAGAAGGACTCGATGTGGAAACCATGCTAAATGAACTGGGCATTATTTTAAACGCCTCTATAGCTCCTAGACTTAAGGTGGAAACTCCATAGTGTGAGAAGAAGCAGATGCCTGCTATCCAAAGCTTATAGAACTGGCACAAC